CGGTTTTTCTCAATTCGATTTTTGCGTTCTTACAATATTCTCAGATATTCATATTTCAAAGAGGTTTATGCGTGGACTTACAAGTGCTTTAGATTGGAGAGCTGACTCCAGCTCTCGGGTATCGAGCCGCTGAAACTGTTCATTGACAGGTTTAAAGTCTGTAGATTAACCATGTTCCCAATATATTCTGGTAAAGCACCAGATAAACTATTGTTCTGTATCTCTCTGCATTGAAGGAATCAAGAACAAATGATTATGATTAATGGAACCTATAGAGAATGAAAATGGTTTGTGAAGTCTTACAAGGTAACCAAGAACTTGAGTTTTGTAATAGCTGGAGACAGTGCTCCTGTGAATCCATTTGAGGCAAGATTCCTACAGATTGATACAGAAAAACAGTTTCAACACGATGCGAAATCTCGGTAACTAAGACTTGAGAAGTGATCTTAATTAAGAGGACTCACAAAGCCACAACACTCTGGTCTCTGCAGGTTACAAAGGACCAACTAAAGCAAGGGCTCACGAAATCGCGTGTCCATTTTAGACTATTGATCGAATCATTAAGTGAATCTCTTAGCTGCAACAAAGCCCCTCCTAGCAAATGGACAAGAAGTAAACCTAGTTAATACCATATTAGAAGATTGATTTTATAAACAAAGGCTAATTAAAAAAAATTTACCTTCAATATCTGGTTGAGTTGATGAAGAAGTGATTCCCACAAAAGCTAAGGCCATGAAACATTGTAAGATAAGTTTGTGTTTGTTCCATCTAAAGCAATCTCTTTCAATGAATCCTCTTCGAGTTCTTAGTGGATCGCGAAATCTTTCACCGTTCACTGCAGATTATAAGAATTGTTATATATCTGAAATCAATCAAATTCACTTCAGAACACCTTTTTCTGCAGAATCTATAGTCTAAACTAATTGCATCAAACATAATAATCACTGGAAAAAATCAAGTAAAAAGTTTGATTCTCTTACAAGAAATATTAAGCCTTATGATCATCAACTATGACTCATAGACTATGAGCATGCAACGTTTACTAATTATTATTAGTAAGCAAATAAATGAAAAGATCGATTTGTCTTGATAACTAAAAGCTTTGGTTGTTTTTGGTGTGAAACATTGTTAGATCAATCAGTAACATCCACATCAGAGTTCGTTTGAACCCAAAACATTAAGAAAATAAAAGCTTATATGCATCAATTAAGAAGAACAAAAATTAATAATTGTGTCTCTGACTCTTTGCCTTTGATGTTCAAATATTCTCTCAAAAACCTCTATGTTTTTAGGTTAAAAAAAAAAAAAAACCTCTATGTTTTCACCTAATAAATGTGTACCAAATGTTTTGGAACTTGAAACTAAAAGAAGCAATAAAGTTTAATATTTTACGTTAAACAATAAAAACCAAGAAACCTAATAAAAAAAAGAAGGTATTAAAGTGTAAGGAGGAACAAATGTTTTAAGTTACCTGAGTGAGCCATAGAGAAGCTGGAAACACTCTAAACACAAGAGAACAAAAACATGGATTGTGAAGAGAAATGGAGGATTTGAATAATAATGAAGCCAATAACATCAACAATAATGAAATAAAAAATTGATCTAAAGAAGAAGACTCTTTTAGAAGTTAGTGCCTTTAATGGACCCACGAAAGGTATTTTTCATATATTTTTATCTCTCTAATGTAAAGAAGAAGATGAAATGCTGCTTTGAGGGAAAGAGAATCCCACTAAGATGAAACATCTTTGATTTCTTAATGGAGGTGTGTTATTTTTCTCTTTTTTCTGTTTCTTTATTTTGGGTGATCTCTTTTGCTAAGTGTGGGACTTGGAATGTGAATGGGACACAAAAGGTGCAATGAATGAACCTAGAAAAATAGAAAATAATAAAGAATGATTTCAATGAATTCAGTAATTAAAACACAAGCCAATGTTTAATTAAGAACTTAATTTTTGTTTTGGAAAATGGCTTATGCTTTAGGAAGAGAGTCATATAAGCATGTGTAAGATAGTTCCACTTGTTCAGGTTATATTCTGGATGATGGCAATGCAAAAGGGCATTTTTTTATATATTCCTCTAATCTCTGACCTTCAATGGAGGTGAAAAAAGATTCCATAAAAATTAAATAACTGATTAAAATGATACAATTCTTGTTGGTAAAGTTTTATAAACGTAGGCTAGCTAATAAAACGTATGTCAAGAAAAACAAGAGATAAATATTTTATAAATGAAGATTAGGTTAAAAGAAGAAAACATAATGTGAGGAAGAAGCAAGAGTAGAATATATGCAGAATAATGATATAAATAATATCCAATACTTATATGCTTGAACTTGAACATGTTCTTATGCTCATCACTTTATATACTTGTCATACGATTCTTCAAACTTATTGAGATTTTTTGTTCGATATCTCCAAAAGATGTGATGATCATCGCAATCTAGAACGTATATTTAAAAAGTGAAAATTTATCTTACATTCACGAAGAAAATTAAAATAAATATATCTTTCTATTTTCATTAGAATAAAATTGAGTGGATTGAGAGCAAAAAAAGAAAAATATAGAACTTTTTTTTTGAAACTAACATAAATTTATAACTTTTGACATTTGAATCTAAGATAATAGATTATACATTGTTAAGTGTAGCTCAACTTAACTTACTTATGGACTACACTGCCATCGTTTATTCTAATTTTTTTTTTTTAATAACACGATTTGTTTTTTAATGATTTCATAAAAATATACTACTATTGCAATTAAACCACAACGAAGTAACTAAAAGAAAATCTACTACTCCACATAAATTCGCATAAAATTATCTAAGATCATTAATTTTGTTCGGAGCATTCATTTATAGCCAATTTGTCACTTATCAGACCGCAAAACGCGATTATTCTCAGGAGTCCCTTTATACTACATGCAAAAGAGATTTCTGACTGGGACCTACCAAAATGTATTGCAATTTACGAAATAGCCCTTTAAGATTGTGTGTTAGAGACACGTGTCCCAAAAATGACGGGGGTATAAGAGAGAAAGTAGCGTTTAGCGTACTGCGTTCGGCGATTGGTTAAAACCCCCAGGCGAATCCTTGAGAATCTGGCGCTATTTCTTTTGCTAATTTTCCCCTAAAATCCGGGATTTCTTC